CGATATGACATCCCTTCAAATATTTAAACAGGGCTATCATATCACCTCGCAGCCTTCTCTTCTCCAGGCTAAACATACGTGGTTCCCTAAGTCTTTCCTCATAGGGCTTCATGGTTTCCAGACCCTTCACCATTTTAGTTGCCCTCCTTTGGACACGCTCCAGTTTCTCCACATCCTTTTTGAATTGTGGTGCCCAGAACTGGACACAGCCTTATTCCAGGTGAGGCCTGACCAAAGCAGAATAGAGTGGCACTATGACTTCTCTTGATCTAGACACTATACTTCTACTGATGCAGCCTAAAATTGCATTGGCCTTTTTAGCTGCTGCATCGCACTGTTGACTCATGTTCAACTTGTGATCTACTAAAGGGCGAAACAGACCACCCCAAAGGAGCAGCTCCCTGCTGTCCCTATGAGCACCAGATCAGGGCTGTGGCAATCACATGCTGTGGCTCCTATCCAGATTTTTGTGGCCCAAAAAGAAGCAGCAAAATGCCACTCCTTTTGGGAGTGTGAAAAAGGCACCCTTTTTTGCTGCAGTGGCAGCTTTTCCACATTTCTGTGGTGTGGCACGTGCAAACACCATACCACAGAAACACTGCAACACTGCCCACCGTGTAGTTGGGCAGTGGCGTGATGCTGGCTTAAGGGTGGCTTTGGGGCATGCCCCATGCGGACACCATGCCCCCAAGCCACTGGGAAGCTGGCATACTTTGCTGGTGTGTTTAGCCCCTGAGACTCCAGATCCCTTTCACATGTAGTCTTACTAAGCCAGGTGTCTCCCATCCTGTATCTATGCATTTCATTTTTCTGCCTAAGTGTAGTCCCTAACAATTGTCCCTGTTGAAATTCATTTTGTTAGTTTTGGCCCAGTTTTCTAGTCTACTAAGGTCATTTTGATCCTCTTGATCCTCTCCTCTGGGGTATTAGCTGCTATTCCATGGGGTTTTCTAGGGACGTTTCTTCCGTGGGGGTTTCCCATGCCCATTGCCATCCTCTGAGACTGAGAGAGTGTGACTTCCCCAAGGTCACCCAACAGGTTTCATGGCCAAGAGGGGAATCGAAGCCTGGTCTCCAGAGTTGTAGTCCA